TGGTCCCTCTCCTCTGGGGCTTATTATTATTTGCTTGTGCATTGTTTTTGTGACCGGCTGGGTTATTTCCGTGAAGAGTATCTGCCGCCCCACGTCCACACCCAGTGTTAAGCCTCTGATGTCCTGAGGGAGATGCACCTCTGGGTACCTGCACAGTCACCTGGGACCACACCCAGCTGTTAAACTCCAGTAATTGCCTGATGATTGCTCTACTGTTTTCAACAAGCCCCTGGGTGTAAATTCCTCTACAAAGTAGTCCAGTCAAGGTCTCTGACACAGTCTTTTCCGACTCCAGCGTTTCATGTTTGTTTCCACCCCACGAGGGCTGCCCCTCCCCACCCCGGTTTTCTTATCACTTGTTTCCCTCCTGTGAACCAGCCTCCAACTTAGCCTGTACTTGACACTCCTCCTGTGTGCCCACCACCACCTCACTGTTCTTGAGAACTTGGGCTTGAACTTCTCCACAGTCTGTTGCAAACAGAGTCAGCTCCTTTGGGAAGAAATTAGGAGAGATCTGTTTTTCCGACTTGCTCATCACACACCCCCATCCCCCCAATCTCTGAGCCATGGCTCTGGAACTGGGGTGAGGACAAGGGCAGACTTCTCTCTGTGTGACGCCCCTGCTCCAGGAGCTCCACGGGAGGGGCACTAGCCTGGTGTCCTCTCAGCCGCCTCTCCTGGTGAGAACCACTGCCCCACAGCCAGGGAAGGTGACCAGGGCCTCAGCACCCTCAGTGGTGCCAAGGTAGAGCCTCCACTCCAAGAGCTGGGCTGGGCAGGAGGGGGGCCCTGCTCTCAGCCAGCCTCACCCACACTTGGCCTCAGCAGCAGGCACTGGGCAGGTACAAACACCTAGGCCTGCAGCTCAGGGAAGGAAGCCCTTCCACGCGGAGCCAGGGGACAGGAAGTCTTCCGTTCTCAACTGCAGCCTCTGGCGCAGGGTCCCTGCGTCCCCTGCTGAGTGGGGAGGAGGGAGTGGTCTTGGGTCAGATACCCCACTCTCCTTTCATACCAAATTTTCATAGATTTTCTTGGATAGATGCTTCTCTATTTGCTGCTTGCCTGTAGGACCATTCCCAGAGGTTGTAGGTATTGTTGTCTTTTTGTTTTTGCTGTTATAGTTCTCACCAGTTTCACTGGGAATGGGTTGTGGAGGGCCTCACACTGCCTTCATGTAAGTTACCCCGCAGGTAGTCTTGGTTTGGTTTTTTCAGTTTGTTTATTTGAACCTGGATCTCTGTAAGGTCCACACACTGCCGTTGACTGCTGTGTGTCTTAGGGATTTGGTGTCTGGGTCTTGCTCCCTGCGTCCTGGGTGTGGTTCACGTGTTCTGTGTCTGGAAGCTTGACCAGGGCCCCGGTGCCCTGTGCCCACCTCACATCTCTCAGGCCACCTGAGAAATGAGCAACAACTCCTCCCAAGATGCCTGGGCCTGCCGACAGCATCTCCCACCGGCCGCTCCAAGGCTCCCCGCCCTGCGGCTTCTCTGACCACACTGACCCTTCACACCGCAGACTTGAAAGCGTGAGGGAGTGAGTTCATGACCATGGGGACGCCGGTGGACAAATCCCCTGCTCTCGGGTCTCCAGTGGGACGGAGCCTCAATTGCCCACAGTGGGGACCACTCCAATAGTGCCCCCCTAGGGTGGGCTTTCCCTCTTCCCTTGTTTCACCCTCCCAGCCCCCCACTCCTGTGCCTTAGGATCATCTCTCAAAATAAACCACCTCCATGCAACCCCTTACCTCAGGCTCTGCCTTGATGTTTTGGCAAGACTATGTAATAGGTTGTGTGGTGAACGTCTATCAGGAAACAGCCAGTGTCTGATTCACCCTTTTTGTCATGTCTGCAGACGCTGACATCAACACCTCGTTACCCAGAGGTGTAGTTCTTTCAGGAAAGGTAGGAGAAGTCCTTGACTTCCCCTTGATTTACCAGTTTTCAAAAGATGTCAATTCCTGATATCCTCCCAACGGTAGTCAATGAGGTTTTGTTTTTAAAGAATGATATGAGCTCATGGATTTAACTGTATTTCATGCGCTTCATTCAATTGTAGTTCTTGTTCTCAGTGCCACTCAAGCGGTCCTGTTCTTGGCCAGCAGGACCTTCTTAAGGTGGCTCGTGACTCCCAGCTTGGCATTCCTCAGTAACTTCCTTGATTTCAAAAAACTAGTCCAGGCTTTCAGTAAAGTTATTGATTTAATAAATATGGTATGTACATTATGGGTTTATAGCAATACTTCTAATTCAAATTCAGGACTATGGGGTTTTAATTAACTTCAGTGATCCCAAACCTGTATCTTCTTTTTCCCAAGCCAAAAATTTTCAGTTCTCAACACTACTCAGATCATTTGGTACTTGGGACATTTGAGCTGTTCTCAGTAATTGGCTATTAAAAATTTCACTGAATAGTGAAATACCTTTAGGGTAGATATTTTGAATTTTTGCCAATGTGAGTTCAGGATATATCCCCAGAAGTAGGACTGCTAGGTCAAAGGGTAAGTGCAGAAGTGATTTTGTTAGGCATTGGTAAACTCCACTTCGTAGGTGGCTGCAGCATTCAGCACCCCACTTACAACGTGTGAGAGTATAAGATGCGTGTCCCCCCACCCCCTGCAACAGGGTGTGCCATCAAACCTTTGGGTTTTGTCAACTGAATGTGTAAGAAAGGGTCTGTGTATTTTTTTTTTTTTTTTTTTGCGATACGCGGGCCTCTCACCGCTGTGGCCTCTCCCATTGCGGAGCACAGGCTCCGGACGAGCAGGCTCAGCGGCCATGGCTCACGGGCCCAGCCGCTCCGCGGCGTGTGGGATCTTCCCGGACCGGGGCACGAACCCGTGTCCCCTGCATCGGCAGGCGGACTCTCAACCACTGCGCCACCAGGGAAGCCGGGTCTGTGTATATTTATTTCTACTTCTCTTGCTATAAGTGAAATGAGGGGTCTGTTTCTGTTACTCAGATGTTCTGCTTTGGCTAAGGTTGTGTCAAGGCAACACAGAAAAGGCATTTGCGGAAGTGAATTGGGGGTGAAAACTCATACCTAATAATTTTTTATTTATTTTTATAAATTTATCTTATTTACTTATTTTTGGCTGCATTGGGTCTTCATTGTTGTGCGTGGGTTTCCTCTAGTTGCAGCGAGTGGGGGCTACTGTGTGTTGCGGTGCGCGGGCTTCTCATTGCGGTGGCTTCTCTTGTTGCGGAGCACGGGCTCTAGGCATGTGGGCTTCAGTAGTTGTGGCACGCGGGCTCAGTAGCTGTGGCTCCCGGGCTCTAGAGCGCAGGCTCAGTAGTTGCGGTGCATGGGCTTAGCTGCACCGTGGCATGTGGGATCTTCCCAGGCCAGGGCTTGAACCCGTGTCCCCTGCATTGGCAGGCAGATTCTTAACCACTGTGCCACCAGGGAAGCCCATTTTTTTATTTTAAATTTTATTTTATTTTTTGGCTGTGTCGGGTCTTAGCTGCAGCATGTGGGGTCTTCACTGAGGCACGTGGGACCTTTCCATTGAGGTGCAGAGGCTCTTCGTTGTGATGCGCAGGCTTTTCTCTGGTTGTAGTGTGGGGTTTTTTTTTCCTCTCTACTTAAGGCACATGGGCTCCAGGGCGTGTGGGCTCCGTAGTTTGTGGTGCACAAGCTCAGTAGTTGTGGCATGTGGGCTTAGTTGCCCTGCAGCATGTGGGATCTTAGTTCCCTGACCAGGGATTGAACCCACATCCCCTGCATTGGAAGGCGGATTCTTTACCACTGGACCACTAGGGAAGTCCCTCTTTTTTTCCTAATAATTTATTTTAAAGTTAAAGTGGTCCTAGATCATAGCTCCCCAGTCGCATGGCAGAAGCAAATACTAATTTTTTCAGGAAGAACCCAGACATGTCAGAGAAACTCCAGAGGTAAAATTCCAAGAAATACAAACTCACAGCCAAAAATCACAGAATTCATCAGGAAACAAGGCACCATGAGTGAGTCAACAGAAAAAACTGACAGAAAAATCAGACCCACAGAGTCTTCAAACATTGATATTACCAATCAGAGAACGTACAATAAGTTTAACATGTTAAAAAAGAAAAGAATGAGTTGAAAATGTGATAAATAAAAGTTATAAAGTCCAGCAAATTAGAAAAACAACATAGAACTTAAAGAATTGAAAATTGTAACTATGGAAATTAAACACTGAATGAGTTCAACAGCACATTTGATACAGCTGATCAGAAAATTAGTGAACTGAAAAGTGGATCTTAAGAAATTATCCAGAATGTAGCAAAGACAGATAAGGAACGGGAAATACGGAAGGGCTGTTAGAAGACGGAGGGCGTCTGACGTACATTTGGTTGGGGTTTTAGAAGGAGAAGGAACAGAGATTGGAGTAAAGACAATATTTGAAAAGATAAAACCCAGATTCAAAACATTCAACAATGAGCAGGTAGGGCGATGAGTACCTTCCCCTGACATCTTGGTGGAACCACAACAGCCAAAGAGGAGACAAGTAATCTTCCAAAGAACAACTTCAAACTGACACCCACCAGCCCCGACCCGTGTCTGCAGAGCTGTGCGCAGGGCTTGGTGGGGGCGGTCGCAGGCCAGCAACCGTTGCCACCACCAGACTGGAGCCCAGAGTGGGAGCAGGCCGGGCGGGATGGGCCAAGCGGGGCCTCGGGCGGGCACGGCAGCACCGGGCACCACAGGGGGATGGCTGGCTGGTGGGTCCCCACTCCCCAGGTCCAGCCCGGGGGGCCCTGATGTCATCAAATCGGAGCCAAGCCAGCTGCCGGCCTAGGTCTGCGCTCCGCCCTCCCCGGCCCGGGTCCCTCCCAGCTCCCCAGGCCCACCCGAGGCTTCTGCTCACCTTCCCAAGCGCGGGAGCGAGGACCACAGGCATCTCCCTTGAAGCCCTGATGAGCTGCGCAAGCCAGTCACCCCCTCTGAGAAGCGGCCGCTGGAAACAAAGTCCTCACCAGTAACTGCTGCTATCTCCCTCCCCCCAACACAGAACGTCGACCAGAGACCGTTAATGATAACCATTTACTCCACGCGTTTCACAAGGACGTTGGGGGGCGGGGGCTGCTCCCCACACCCCAGTCACCGCACGAGGGGGCCCTTCCCGGAATCCGTGGCTCCCCCACAGCTTCCCACATAGCCACCGGCCTCGTTCAGTCGGTCACAGGCCCGCGACATGGAGGGCGGCACGGGCCAGGGTCCTGGGGCCCCTGCGGCGGGGAGGAAAAGCCCGGCAACACCGCCACAGGGCCGCAGAGGAACCGCCGTTACTGGTGCTTATTTCTCTTCTTGGCCCTTTTAAATCCTCGTGAGGCACCCTGACCAAAACAGATGGTAGATGGTATCCTGAAATGAAAGACACCTTCACGCTAAACTGCTACGCTTTTGCTCACAAACAACCCAATTCATGCTGGCAGTCTCGTGGGCTCGCGGGGGTCTGATTCTTGGTCTGGACACTCCCTCTTCCCCCGCGAACCGTGCAGGGTGTCCGCTGGCTCTCACCCGGACTCTCCCCTCCCCGGCTGCAGCAGGCCAGCTGCTCCAAACCTGCTTCCAGTGGGAGACGCTCCCCGCCACTGACTACCTGCCGCCGACCACCTGCCGCCAACCACCCACCCCGGAGAATGTGTCCGGGCTCCAGCTCAGGCTCCCTGTGACCCGCCCTCCAGGTGGCACCTGGGACTCACTCTCAGGCCAAATTCTGGGCAACTGTGCGAGGGCAGCTGAAGGACACGAGTTCCATCTCCCTGTCGGTTTGAATTTATGGGCGATTTCTTCCACTTCTCCCACATTTACCCCCAAATTAGATTTGAAATCAACTTTATCCCCGATAAAAGCACAGTTAACACTAGAAACACAGCCTCGTAGATTGTAACTCGAGCAATTACACCCTGGGTCTCTCCATCCCAGCTTAGGCCATGGTCAAACGGGGCAGTGCTTTGCAGTCCTGTGCTGCTGGGGCCCCAGGTCGTCCGAGGGCAGCAGGATGGTTGGCTTTCACCTCCCGCTGAAGCCAACGCTCCAACCCAGGGGCGGTTTCTCTCAGCGGGAACTGGGCCGGCCCAGAGTCAAACCCAGAATTCTCCAGGAGAAGCACAGATTCAGAACCTGCTTCAGAAAGGTGCCCGGGTACTGACCTGTGGCTGTAGGCCCGCCTCTCTCCCGCGGGTGCTGGTGGGGGCTCCACGTGTTCAGAGCAGACTTCCATGGCGTCGACTTCCGACGGCACCCCGTCATCCCCCGGGGCTTCTGCCAACACCTGCTCAGCGGCACCGGGCATGACTGGGCTGGGGAAGACAGGTGGTGAGGACGCTCCCAGGTGTCAGTGCCTGCAGCCCCCGCTTCCCCCAGGACTGAATTCGCAAAGCTATTTTATGACTGTTTTATCAGAGAGTAATTTTCAGGCTACCACAATGTGGAGAAGTAAATGTTCATATGACGTAAGCCATATTCTATGAATTTAGGTATGATGGTCACACTCCACCTTTTAAAAATAGTATTTTCATGGTCTCACACGGTAAATGACTACCAACGGTACCAAACGTCTCTCCATTACAATTACTGAGAAATTTACTAAAAGCAACCATACAATACTGAGCGTCTCCTCCTTAACACCAGTGTCTCAATCCAGCATCGTAGGGTTTTTCTCCTTCAAACGATTCCTTGGAAAGGAAGGAGTTACCTTACACTCAAGGCCTTATAAAAATCTTCCATACTGAAGTCAGTTCTCCAGATTATTCTACTGTGAACAGTAAAGTTCTGTCTGGGGACAACAATTAGTCTGAAACGACTTCAATCAATGCAACTTTTAGATGGTGATGAAGCTTCACCTGAGAAAATCAGTTAACGAAAAGGCAGAGTAACGTAACACGCACTTACGGGCTACTCCCAGAGGTACTTCTCACAGTGCGTTCTGAACAGTAACATGTAACACGTGGCTGTGCCGTCAAGTTTGTAAACATATACTGACGGGAAAAGGGAAAAACCGACGGCCCCACGTGAGGTGAGGGGCTCACGGCCTGGGACAAATTCCCCAAGGCCCACATGAGGATGGAAGGGAGGTGATGAGCAGGGTGGAGATGAAGCGTGAATGTAGAGGGGCGCGGTGGTGTTCCTGCACGCCCGGCAGACCCCAAGATGGTACCCCAGCCACTCCCAGCACAGGCCCGGGGAAGGCAGGCTCTCCCCTTCCCACCCTCCCTGCAGCCGGGGGGGCCACACACAGAACCACCCCATCTGCTTAACCCCTCTTGGTTAACGACTCCCGATTTGTCAGGGCTTCTGTAACCTGCAGCTAAATGTAACGTTAGCGGCAGGGATGCTGAACGAGGGCATCTACGCCCTCAAAGTCTATGCACGCAAAGGCTTTCTAGGCTCGGGAGGCGGCTCCGCGGCACACCGCCACGCACCCTCTGCTTTTCCTCGGTTTATCGAAGCGGAAGTCCACAGGGTAGAGATGACGCATCACCAGGTGCTCCTTCCGGTCTCTGCTGGTTCTGAACTTCTCTGTGCAGCCCTCCACCAGGCACTGATACTGAAATGGAAACAGCATCACCCCACCCTGACCCCAGGGCTGCCCATCTCACCGCGCTCTGACCCCAGGCTCTGGCACCACGAGGCACACGGCTCAGGGACGAGCCCCCGTGATGCCTGCCCTTGGCCTCAGCGGGCGAGCCGTCACCCACCATGTCCTGCCGCTCGGCCAGAATCTGGAAGAGGGAGTCGTGCCACTCCAGGATGTGGGTGTCCAGCAGGTGTCCAGAAGGGAAGGCCCGCTTGCAGAAGGAGCAGACGTTTCTGTGCAGAGTGTGGTAGTGGTGCTCGTAATCCTCCAGGGCGTCGAAAACCTGGCAGCAGCCGGCCACCTGACACGTGAACTCGGGCACCCTGGCAGAGGAACGCCTGGTGGGGATGCCATTCCACAGCGGACAGAACGTCGGGCTCCCTGTCACCACTCGCCTTTAAGTGGACTGATAAAGCTTCGGATTTTCTCTTGCAAGCCCAAATCCTACTTTCACAACAATTACATTTTTACAGACAAGCTAGGCGGTGGTGAGGCCAGACACGCAGGCTTCCGTGGTGGTACAGGCAGAGTAGCGGGGCGGGCACCAGGGGCGGGGCGGGCAGAGGGAGGGGCCCGGAGAGGGCAAGAAGGGCCCCTTGCTGGGCCACAGCACTAACCTGGGCCTCTCGGGCGCCCCGCCCACCTGCGTGAGCACATCCTGGAGGTAGAGGTGCCGCTGCACGTCCCCTTCCTGCGGGAGACAGCGTCCTGGATTCTGACCCGGCTCCACCCCGGGCCCCGCCCCTAGGACCCCGGCCCCACCCAGAGCCTCAGCCCCGCCCACCGGGAGTCTGCCCCCGCCCCACCCAGGCCCGGCCCACCCAGGCCCCGCCCCAAGCATTTCCCCCCGCCCCATCCAAGCCCTGCCCCCAGGGCGCCAGCTCCGCCCAAACCCACAACCGCTCTCTCCTTCCTCGGGTCACGCACCTCAAAGAAGTCGTGCTCCCGTGGGAAGCGCACCGGGCGCGGCGCGAAGCGGAAGGGCGCGGTCCTGGCCGCGGGGTCCCGCTCCACGGGTAGAGGTTCGGCCGACCCGGGTGCCCCCGCCAGGCGTGCGTGCAGCGCGGGTGGCAGCTGCATCGCCCTGAGCGCCAGCGGCGCCACGGCCTGTCGGCCACCGTCCGCGAGCCGGCCGGGGCGGGGCCGGACGTGACGTAGAGCTCCACTTCCGCCGCCGGGGCTGCCCTGCGGGCTTGACGGGCTTGGCGGGCTCGGGCCGGGCGCGCCCCTGCGGTGAGTCCCGGGGCGGCTTCTATGCGGAGCTGGCCTCGTGTGTCCAGCCGATGGTTCGGGTCCCTTTCCCGGCCCCGAGCAGCACAGGCTCCTGGCTGTAGAGGCTCCCTCCCTCCCTCCCTCCTCCCCCCCCCCCCCCTTCCCCCCCCCCCCCGCCCCCCCCCCCCCCCCCCCCGCCTTGTCTCCCACCTGAAGGGCTACCTCGGCCTCTGGACCATCCTTGTCTCCAGACCAGTCCGCAGACTGCAGCCCGAGTGGTCTTTGGGAAATTCGCGATTTGTTGTGCCGGTCCCGCGGCCCCACGGCAGCTCACACTCAATCACCGGGGTCTGTGGGTTCGTTGGTGGCGACCAGTAAGGTGAAGCACAAGGGAGCATTAAAAAGATCAGCCGAGCTGGGGAGGTGCTACCTGCAGGTGAGAGCCACAGATCTTACAGGAATTGTTCCCCACATCCGCGTGGAACAGCAGGCTCTTTGTAGTATTAATACTTGTGATGTGGAATGTCTGCGCTTGTTTCTACCACAGATGTCAAGGTTCACGAAGATAGTTTCTAAATAAGCATTTACTTAAATGATCTTTCTTCTGAAGAGCCCTGTCCACCCACTTGTGACTGGTGGAGAGATGGCAAATGCAGTGTCCATGCCGCCTAGGTGGCCAAAGTGGTCCTCAGTCCAGCTGTTAGAGAACACCCCGCGGTCCTTGGAAACCTCGTAGAATGTGGGTAAAAGCAGTTGCCCTTGGAATGGAAGAGGCCATCAGTGGGAGAGCTCCGTGCTGTCTTTTCTGTTTGTAGTTCGCAGTGCCTCATGCAGCCGCTCTGTGACTAATTAGAAGGTGATAGTTGAGGATGCTGGCAGTGGTTCAGTTCCAGTTTTCCATTTCTTGGGTAACAGCGGGTGTTTCCAGGTGGTTGGCCACGTGTAGCAATAGCAAAGTTTGTTTCTGCTTTTCTGATAACAACAGTGCAGGCCCTTAGGTGCTATATTTAATCTCCACAACAGCTTCGTGGGCAGGGTCTAGTACTCGCCCCTTTTCAGAGAAAGCTTACAGAGGACAGGCTCCTTGTCCAGGGCCCTACAGCCTGGAAGCACCAAGTCAGGGCTCAGGCTGCCTGGGATCCCGCAGCCCAGGCCCCGTGCCCATGACTGTGGTCACCGTGAGCGCCTCCTGGTGTAAAATGTGTGCATGCTGGCGAGTTCCACACCAGCTCACACTTAACTGTTCTGCTTTCGTGTTTGGAGACACCTTGCCTCTGGCCGGTATTTGACGTTTACGTAGGTGACTGTGATATTTGTATGTGGGGAACTTGTTTTCCATCACTCAGGATTAGAGTCTCTGGATGTAGAGGTACAAATTAATATCCACGTTGTGGGCGTGTGTGCCGAGCCTTCCCCACCTGCTGTTAACTCATGGCTTGTCTTCACTGGAGCTGTTGACACAGCCGTTCTAACCTTTTTAGGGTCACAGCCTTTGAGAATCTGTTGAAAGACCCTTTCCTCAGAAAAATCGCATACAGAAATGACTTTGCCTGTAATTTCCAAGTCTTTTGTTGTTCATGATCCCAAATTATGAACCCTGTGTAGCCGCGTTGAAACGTTTATGTGAAGCGTGTAAAGTTTGCTCGTGTTTATTTGTTGAATCTATGACTAATTGCCCGTGTTTGTCTGTCTTACTCTTAATAATAATGGCTAATTGGACCAGTCATCAGTGGGAGAACAGAAGTCCCCCTGCAGGCCACTACTGTCCCTTTGGGGACATCTGCATAGAGGTCCCCTTGCAGGCTACCACTGTCTTCTTGATGGGATCTCATTTATGGTTTTGACCATAAATGAGATCCAGTGGGGAGACCCTAGAACATCTGATGGACAGGGCAGATAGAGCTGAAGGGGAAGCCCACCCAGCTCAAGTACATAGGAGATGTGTAGCAGTCTTAGCAAAGCCCAGCCTGGGCGAGAAAAGGCAGCATCCTGGTTACCAGAGTGCACAGAGAACACACAGCTGGAGGCAACTGGAGCTGTAGGTGTGGGCCTCACAGGGGCAGCCGCGAGGGGCGGTGGCTTAGGCCTGTGCAGAGCTCCCTGTATAGATCAGGGTCCCTGAAGGGCTGGGACCACTGTATCTGCACAGCTGGGACTAGAAAGTGCTGTCTGCCACCTGAGGGGAGCAGCTCCCTGCTGGCCCAGGGCCACGTGTGGTTGGGGTCACCCAGGAGGAATGGGGGCCTGGGCCTTAGGGCCACGTCCACTCTGTGTGCACATGCCAGGCCCCCTGAGCTGAGGAGTGAGCCTGGAACCTGGCTGGAGCTTCTGGGGCTCAGCACTGATTCCCATGGGAGCTGCCCACTGAGACAGCGCCCAGTGAGAATGACAGACCCCAGCAGCGGGCGAGGAGGGCGAGTCTCCCCAGGAAGGGGCCCCACATGCTGGTCGGAGCAGGCTGTGGTGGTGCCTTCATGGGGAACCTTCAGGCCAGGATGGGCTCTGTGACAATTTGGCTTCTCAAAGACCTGACATTGGCCAATTCAATTGCTTTAAAACTTTTTAATTTATAGACTCTTGATTTATAAATGGCTCTCCTCTTACCTTTAGGAGAACACAGAGCCGAAATCATGAGTGAATTTCGAATTCACCACGACGTCAATGAGCTGCTCAGCCTGCTGCGCGTGCACGGAGGGGACGGGGCCGAGGTCTACATCGACCTGCTGCAGAAGAATAGGACCCCGTATGTCACAACCACTGTGTCTGCACACAGCGCCAAAGTGAGTGCCTGTCCCCGGTGCTGCACTGGGCACAAAGTTCACCTTCCTGACGAGCAGCCACAGCGGTGCCGGTATGCTGGCAGACAACACTGTCAGATGCTTTTCATGGGCCACGTTCTCTGCTCCGCTCTGCTTCCGTTGGTTTCTCCCCATCACCCGTTGCACAGATGAGTAAATGAAGGCTCGGGGAGAGTGTTGGACTGGCAGCCTGACCTGGGAACCCAGACTCTCAGCCACGCCTTCCCTGCGCCCCATAAGGAGGGAGGCCCAGATGGTCCTGATTTCTGTTCACATCGTGACACAGATTCTCCTCTGGGTGAAAAAGGAAGCTCCTGGCGTTAGCCACATTGAAATCCCTTTAAAGTGGCTTTTTTTAAATTCAAATAATGTAAAATTCAAAGTTACGGGTTTTCAGTAAAAGACAATTTAGAAGTCTATTTTAAAAACACATTATGAGGCTTCATTTATTTTAACAGCCTAATGATGGCACAAGGATAATTCAGAAAACTTGCTGAGCAGAATAGAGAGTTTAGGATACATAGTTATGTCCAATTTATTTTAAGGGGAGCATTTAAATCAGTGAGAAAACGTAGCCCCTGAACGTGTGTGTAATAATGATTCCAGAGGGAAAAGAGTTAAGTGCATGGAAAGAATGCATATACACTGTTAGAAAAAACATAGGTGGTTATGGTCTGACCTAAGGCTTAGGAAGTATAACGTGGAAGAAACCACAGAAGAGAATATGGGTGATTTTAACAGAGCATTCTGATGAGTTTTCTTCGTTTTAGTTTAGAGACACGTGACTATTCCATCTGCCTAACTTCACTCTTCTTTTGGGTTTAGTTTTTGCAAGGCTTTTTAAAGTTCCTAGTTATCGTCTCTAAATCGTTCTGTCTGTGCTTTTGAGGTTAAAATAGCAGAATTTTCTCGTACTCCTGAGGACTTTCTGAAGAAATATGATGAGCTGAAATCTAAGAACACGAGGAACCTTGACCCCCTGGTGTACCTGCTGTCGAAGCTCACAGAGGACAGGGAGGTGGGTTCCGGGCTCGGGGGTGGCTGTGTGAGGAAGAGAGGCTCTCTGCGTCTGTGGGGATGATGGACGGCTGTCCCGCCTGGCGGCCCCCCGTTAACCGCCCCGGCCTCACACCTGTAGCACTGAGGTGCGCGCCCCCGAACGGAAGCAACGTGGTGGAGATGAGCACAGCGCTAGCAGCGGCCTCTGGGGCAGAGGGCCTTTGACCTTCGTTGTCCAGGCCGTGCTCTTGTCTGTGCTAAACTGAGCCTGTGTTACCTGTGATACTGAGGGAAGTGCGTGACATCTGAGGAGCCCCGGCCCAGGGCATCCAGGGCTGGTCGGCGCTTCCTTTCGCATCACGAGGCCCAGGGTCCGTTCAGCGGGGAAGCATGTGGCCGGGCGCGTGGTGGCCACTGCGCCGGGACAGATAAAGGGGCGTGGTCTCGAGCAGCAAGGGAGGCCGGTCTCATGTGGAGAAAAGGCTGAGCCACTGGGAACAGGGTCTGGGATCCCGACCTGCCGTGATCTGGGGGCGTGGCGTCTCTTGGCGGGCAGCGTCGGGAGAGCAGGCTGCCGCTCCAGGACGAGCGGGGCCCCTACTCTCGGCCTCTGCGTGGAGGCTGCAGCTGGGGTCAGTGGGGCGGGGCGGCAGTGCCCGGCGGAGGGCCCGAGCGTGAGGCCCGCGTGACGCCGGGGCCTTGTGCTTCCAGACCCTGCAGTATTTACAGCAGAACGCCAAGGAGAGAGCGGAGCTCGTGGCTGGCGCCCCCGCCGCAGCCTCCAGGATCTCCGTGCAGGAGCTGGAGGAGCTGAGGAAGCAGCTGGGCAGCGTGGCCACGGGCCCCACGTGGCAGCAGGTACCGTGTGGCGGAGGCGTCTGGGTGTGGATTCTGGCCCGGCAGGGGCCTGGCTCTGGGACACGAGCTCCGGGCCCCGGGCGGGGGTTTCTGACTCCCCTGGGGGTCAGCGCCTGCTGCCCGCCCATTCTGTAGGCTTGGCCAGTGCAAGTCCCGGCTCCCCTCATTGACACTGGGCAATTGGTTTGAGGTGATACTTTATCTCCCTCACCTGCCGCTTTTCTTGCCTTTGACTTTGTGTCCAGCCCTGGTCTCCTGCCGTCCTTCTGTGTTCCCACCGTCTTGCCTCTGGCTCTCGAGCCACTCAGAGCTGCCTCCTGAGGTCTGAGCTGCAGGCCGGTGTGGGTTGGGCATGTCCTGTGTCCCCACCTCATGTGGTCCTCCCACCACTGCCCCCTCCTCGACGCCCCCTCGCCCCCTGCCAGTGCTCTGAAAGCTGGGCACCCGTGGGGACCACGGCTCCCTGCCCGAGCCAGAGTGGCCATCTCCCTCTGTCCCTCAGCCCCGAGGGGCTCGGGTAGGTGCGCCCCTTATCCGGCCAACTCTCACTGGGCCTTCCTTTCACCTGGCAGCTCGGGCCTAGACCTCGTGCCACTGGGAAAAGCGGTGAGCTGTGCCCGGAGGTCCCGAGAGTGGGCCTGCACCGTGCGAAAGCTCCAGCTTTACCTGTGGGCCCCGTGCAGTCCAGACCCTGATGAGGGGCTGGGCCCCGTCTGCCTTGTCCCCGGCCCCTTGCACTGCGATGGGCTCAGACACGTGTGTTTCCGTTCACACGTGTGCTCAGGGATCTGCTTTTTCATACCGCGGATGTGTCGGTTTTAAGTGTTTGTACTGAAGGCGTATCTTTCTTTTTTGTTTCTAAAAACCTCCCCACCAGTCTTTGGAACTCACGAGAAAGATGCTTCGAGACAAGCAGAACAAGAAAAACTTGGGCCAGCGCCTCCCTGTCTTCCCAGCGTGGGTGTACGAGAGGCCCATGCTGCTCGGGGACTTCCTGACGGGCTCAGGCACGAGCATGGACACGGCTGTGCCCATCGGTAGGTGACGTGCCGACTTCTGACCGCAGGGGCCTCGCCGCGGCAGGGAGGGCTGAGCCCTGTGGAGACGGCGGGCCGGTGTTGTGCCATCACCCGGGCCCTCTGCTGCCCTTGGCCACGCGGCAAGGAGCAGTGCCCGCCGGACACCGTCCTTCATGTTCCCATCCCCGGTCAGCAGTGGGTGGTGATGTGCCAGTGTCTGGGCTGGCTCTTGCCCGGCTTTCAGGAGCGCCTGCGTCCCGGGGCTCAGGCAGTCCTGGGACGGCAGGATCACTGGGTCGGCCTTCCCAACAGTGAGTCGTGCCGCTGCAGATTTTGCTACACGGGTGACACGGCCTTGGCCACACCGGCCTATGTGTCGCATTCAGACGGACTGTGGGGCATCTGGGGACGTGGGTTTGACCACCGTCTTGCCTTCTGGCTCCCGGGGCACACGGGAAGCAGGGGCAGCAGGGAACACTCGGTGCTCACAGAGAGGCACCCGCAGAGCCCGCCTGGGGAGGGGAGTGTGGCCACGCCCGCTCTGTGGCCATCAGAGGAGCTTGGGCCCCGGGGCCACGTCCAAGGGTGAGAAGCAGGGCAGGCGGGGGCCCCGGTGCTGCAGGCCTGGGGCCTGGCATTCCCAGGGGCTGGCTGGGCAGGCAGATGAGACGCCTCGGGCTCCGCTGCACATGTGGCAGAATCTGGAGGACTTTGGCAGCAGAACCGCTGAGGGAGTCTGTTCCCCGCGGTCGTGGCGTCTCCGTGTTGCGCGTGCAGGCTTGGACCAGTTAGAAGCCACGGAGGCTCTAGGCCCGCAAGAGGCGCCTTCGGGGGAGGCTCGGCCAGAGTGGAGGCGGCCAGGCGCTGGCTCTCCAGGGCAGGACGCGCTTACGGTGTTGGACGTGCAAGGTTTCCTGTGTAGGTTTCCTGTGTGGCTGCTCGCACACAGCAGCCACAGCGGGCGGGCCTCGCGTGGGGGTGGCTCCGAGGCTGCCTTGAGTGACACCATTCCCAGGGAGAACTCTGTATGGATGGGCAGCCTGGCCCATGTCCCTTCTGCAGCCGCACCCCGTGGGCTCCGGAGGCGGGATTGACGCCCATCCCGCAGGCCTCTTGTCACCCTACTGCCCTCTGTCACCCCCTGGCCCAGCACCTCAGGCCCTGATGCAGTCTCCACGGCCCCCTGGCCCCGTCTATGCTCAGGTGCCTGTGGTCAGCGTGGTCGTCCTCGGCCCTGCCTTGGCCTCCCCCTGGCAGAGCCTCACCCAGGAGGGACTTGCCTCCTCAGGTGACGTGCAGCGGCCCTGTGGGACACCCCCACCACCCGCGCGGTGTCCCCCCCACCAGCCGTCCCGCCGTCTGAGTCCCTGTTGAGGCAGGTACCCCCAACCCACTTGCCCACCACCCACCCACAGCTGGGCTGACCCTCCTCGCGCCGGCCTGCAGCTCCGTGTGCCCGCCTGGGCCAGCCCGTCCACGGCCACACGGCGTGGCGCCTCCCGCCCTCATGGGTCCTGCCCTGACCCAGGGCCTTGTCCCCAAGGTCACGAGCGCGGGCGTCTTCTAACCGCACGTGCAGCTCCCGTGCAGCAGCCTCTGATGAGGCCCCGAGCCTCGGGCTCAGGTCTTGCGGATGCAGTCGCTTTTCTGGACGTTTGGGCAGCACAGGTGCTGTCCTGCGCCACAGACCCCCGGCCCCCAGGGACCCCTCCCCCCACCTCGTCTCGCATCCTCGGGCTGTGCTCCTGGCTCTCGCCAAATGTCCCCTTTCCGGGTGACCACATCAGTTTGAAGGAATCCAGCATCCCCAGTGTGACCCCAGCTCTGTCCCTGGCGCCGCTCTCCTGAAGTCCGGGAGAATCTGTGTGCTGAGCGTGTCCACAACGGGCTCTGACCTTCCCCAGCGTCTCTTCCTCGCTGTGTGGTGTTTGCGTCCCTCCCGCTGCGCCAGCCTGGCCCCAGCCCCACCTCCACCTGCCCTTTCAGCCCGAGGGCATTTGTCCATTCCCAACAGCTGGGGTCTCAGCACGTCCCACAGAACTTTCTGTCTCGTCCAGTGCAGGTACCGGCCACATGCAGCTGGTGGGCATTGGATGGCTGGCGTGGCTGAGAATTGGATTTTTGGTTTTCTTTAACTTGACCTTGGTAGCCAGTGGCCCTACACGAGGGTACAGACCTGAGCCCTTCCCTGCCCGGCCCCAGTGCTCGTCTTCGTCGTCCCAGAGCTGGCTTCGCGTGTCCGGCCTGTGCCCTGCACCCCAGTGAGTTGCAGAGACCCTGGCGGCTCATGCAGCCTCCCATCCCAGCCCCTGCACTGTGTCCCTCAGAGCTAGGCCTCAAGCTGGCCGTGCCTCCCGAAGGTCCTGTACATAGTCTCTTGGTCCGCCTCACAATAACGCAGCCTGCGACACTCTGCTCTACACGCTGGCGGGGAGAGGGGTTGGGGCCCGGGTGGCGTCTGCCCCGGGGCCTGCAGCCCGAGAGCCTCAGCTGGGCCTTGGCCAGGGAGATGCCAAGGTTGGCGGTAAGCAGTGCAGAGGTCAGCAGCCCTGCACTTGGGGGTCAGGCAGCCGGACCTGCCTCCCTCAGGGGTCCTGAGGTCGTAGTCGGACCTGCCAGAGCCGTGGAGGAAAACCACCTGAAGTTCAGGGGCGGGTCTGGGTCCAGAGTGATCCATGTGCCTGGACAGGGGGCCACTGGCTCAGACCCGTCCTGCTTCCACCGGCAGGTGTGCACCCGTGGATGTGCAAGGCCAGCAGGGCTTCTGTAAGCGTGGGCGTGTGGTGCGCCCCATCCCAAGCTGCCAGGCCCCGGTTCTGGGTGCCCTGGGGCTGACACAGGCGCCCACAGGGCGCCAGCGGTCTCTTGGACGCCTCTCTCCCGGTTCTGCCTCTGGCCCAGCAGTGTCGGGAGGGTGCCGAGGGCCATCTGGGCTGAGAACCAAGAGGTGGGAGCCGCTGGGGCTGTGAGGCATTTGGGGGGCAGCCCTGGTCCGTGGCCTGTGACTGTCTTGAGTCCATCGGGGTCAAAGGGAACCATCTTTCACTGTGAGAGAGAAATCATCAGCGTTTTAGAGTTTCAGAGGAAACCTTTTTCTCCCTGAGTGACGCAGGCTCACCCGGCTGTAGTGAGTGTCACGAGCGCAACACGTGTCAGAAGCTCTGTCGTTCCCGACTTCATCCTTTTGAGTGCACGCGGGTTATTTCCGTGTGGAGGGTTTTACTTGCTTTAAGGCTCCAATAGGCCGGTCCAGGCTGTGTAATCTCAGCCTGTGGTGCCCCGACGGGATCAGTTAAGCTGAGGGATCACCTTGGCTTTCAGGTCCACCAGTGCTGGAGGGAGTCACCCAGGGGCGGCGGAGGGGGGTCTGGGGGAGGCGAGGCCAGCTGGCGTCTGTGCCCACAGGCACACTGCCCCTGGCCGCCCAGGAGGCGGCCGTCGTGGAGGACCTGCTGTACGTGCTGGTGGGTGTGGACGGCAGGTACGTCACCGCCCAGCCCCTCACGGGGAGGCAGAGCCGCACCTTCCTCGTGGACCCCAGCCTGGACCTGTCCATCCGGGAGCTGGTGAGCAGGGTCCTCCCGGCAGCCTCCAGCTACTCCACCGTGACCAGGTAGGCACCCAGCAAAGCGCACTCAGCCCCTTGCGGGGACAGTTGCAGCCTCACTCCTGGGCCTGGAAGAGGGAGGGAGGCATTGCCCACGGTGCCCTCTGGGGTTGGGGAAGAGGCTCTGACCGTCCCTTCTGAGACACAGCTCTCACCCACCTGGTGCTCAGGGCTGCTTTCCTTGCAGGTTCGTCGAGGAAAAGTCCTCCTTCGAGTACGGGCAGGTGAACCACGCCTTGGCGGCCGCCATGAGAACACTGGTAAAAGAGTACCTGATCCTGGTCACGCAGCTGGAGCAGCTGCAGAGGCAGGGCCTCCTGTCCCTGCAGAAGCTCTGGTTCCACATCCAGCCGGCCATGCGTACCGTGGACATCCTGGCTTCCCTGGGTGCGCGGGCCTGGTGGGAGGGACACCCTGGGCCAGGGCACTCGTCCTCCGATTCTTACTTTTGTGAGGCGAAAGCCACGCAGCTTTGTGTTTTATTAGTTTGTGGGAGGAAGACTCCGGGAGCTTCCAAAAACCACAGCTTTATAGTTGGAGTTTATCCCAAAAGGAAGGCCTGTCCCCTGAGGAGGGGCTGTAGCCCGTGGTGGCCCAGTGGCCCTCTCAGCACTGAGCGCCGTCCTCTCCCCTGGCAGCCACCTCGGTGGACAAAGGCGAGTGTGTCGGGGGGTCGACCCTGAGCCTCCTGCACGACCGGAGCTTCAGCTACACGGGCGACAGCCAGGCACAGGAGCTGTGTCTGTACCTCACCACGGCCGCCAGCGTGCCCTACTTCGAGATCCTGGAGAAGTGGATCTACAGGGGCATCATCGACGACCCATACAGGTAGGGGCCGCGGAGGCAGCGGGGTGAGGTGGGGGCCTGCGGGCCCTTTTCAGCTGACGCCACGCTCAGCGCACAACGTGAAGCGCGTCAGCTCACGGAGAGTTCTATGCTGACGTGTATCTGTTGTACACGTCGGAACATTAAAAAAATGAACCTGTTGTCTAGACATAATTTACTAACGACCCAGATGACAAAATCTAGCATGAGGGCCTGGCAAGGAAGCCTTCCCACGGTAAGCGTAGGTGGCGTCAGGGTGTCTGGCTCTGCTGGTGACAGGAACATGGGCCCCGATGGGAGTGTCGTCTTGTTGCCCGCGTTGGAGATGGAAGAACACGCGAGGTTCCCGTAGCGGGGGCGGGAGGAGTAAAGTGGAGTCAGCGTCCTGTCAGCTCTGCAGACCTCAGTCCCCTCTGCGCCCAGTAATGAGCACCTCGCCCCGTGGGCGTCGGCGGCTGAGAATGAAGGGCGGCGAGGCTGTCCGTGGCCCCCGTGGACTCCCGTTGTTTGCGGCAGCCTGTGTGGTGAGCTCTGCCCGTCACCGGCGCCCATGCCTTTCAGCGAGTTCATGGTGGAGGAGCGAGAGCTGCGCAAGGAGAAGATCCAGGAGGACTACAACGACAGGTACTGGGAGCAGCGCTACACCGTGGTGCAGCGGCAGATCCCGTCCTTCCTGCAGAAGATGGCGGGCAAGGTGCTCAGCACAGGTGACCGTGGGGGCGGGGCCTGGCGGGCTGTCTCATGTCCCCACCTGCCCAGGTTAGGCGCCCGCAGTGCCGGCGGCGCCCGGTGGACTCACTGTGTCCCCCACCCCTGAGCTGGACTTGCCGTCCTTTTGTGATTCTTAAAGCTCTGTGGCCGCTGAAAGGAAGACTGTTTTCTGCTCCCAGCGCTTCTGACCGCAGGCGTGCGGGTTTCTGCACAACAGCCAGTTCTCCGCTCCCCTTGGACACCAGCTGGGTGACCCCCCCATTTAACTCAGTTCTGGCACTACGTGCCACGGTCAGTGCAGGCCCCACAGGGTCAGAGCTCCGTCCCTCGAGGCCGCCCCCACCAGGCGCCGGTCACAAGTGTCGGGTCCCCAGACCACTGCACTCCATGCAGTGTGGCCATGAATCGGGTTCCCACGACCCCCTCCTCAGGTTCGATGTTTGCCATGACAGCTCCCAGACTCAGGAAAACGCTTGACTCAACTAGATCGCTGCTCTGTCACAGAGGCTGTCGTAAAGGATGCGGATGAGCAGCTCGCTGAGGGGGTCCATGGGGCAGGTGTGGAAGGGTCCCGAGCACGGGGGAGCCTGTCCCCGTGGAGCTGGGGTGTGCCGGGCACCACCCTCCTGGCAGGTGGACACGCTCACCAGCCCAGAAGCTCTCCAAACCCCTTCCCGCAGGGTTTCCCTGCAGGTTCCGGGACAGGGCGCGGCTGATCGGCTCTCGGGCCGTTGGGAATTAATTCAGCCTCCGGCCCCCGCCCCCCCCCCAGATGTCGGGACGGGGCTGAGGGTTTCACTCTCCCATCACGTGGTTGGTTCCTCCGGCCGCCAGCCCCCGTCCTGAAGCTCTGTAGGGATGGCCAGGAGTCACCTTGCGAGTGTAAACTCGGGTGTGGGTGAAAGGGGCTTGTGAACCACAAAATCCGAAGGGTTGTAGGAGCTCAGTGCCAGGAACCAAGAACAAAGACCAGAGGTATGTGTCTTATTTCTCAGTATCACAGGCTAGCACAGGAAAAGCAGTAAAGGACACGTGCCCCGCTGGGCTGGCAGGGTTTTTAGTCATCTCCTTGCGGTCAGGAACGTGACTGAGAGACACATGTGGGATGAGTTACCTGGAGACACGCTCCAGCCAGGGCCTCACAATTTGGTTCTGAGATCGGGGCTGGGAGGTGGTGTAGCGTCTGGTTCCCGTGAGGCTCTCAGGTTATTCCTGTGCCCTTGATGAGGCAAGTGCAGGTATGAAGTCACAGGAGGTTGCAGCCCTTTGGGGCGACAGCTGTGCTGCTCTGCTCTGGGCGAGGGGTTAGGGACTGTGCTCAGCTGGTTGGTTCTCTTGCCTGCCTCTGGCTGGCACTGGGGCTGCGATGTCTGGGGTTCAGGCCTGTGAGTTATCACGTATACAGCAAGCATGGTAATCTGACTGTTTCCATCCCTTTCCAGGAAAATATCTGAATGTGGTCAGAGAGTGTGGCCGTGACGTCACCTGCCCTGTGGCCAAAGAGGTGATCTACACGCTGAAGGAGCGCGCGTACGTGGAGCAGATCGAGAAGGCCTTCAGCTACGCCAGCAAGGTGCTGCTGGACTTCCTCACGGAGGAGAAGGAGCTCGTGGCCCGGCTGAGGTGCGCCCACCCCCAGGGGCCGACAGAGGGCCGTGTGTGCCCACGTCCCCTCGTCTGCGGTGGCACAGCTCCCTCCTTGCGGCCGCCAGCCCCCTCCTTGGCCCCCTGCCCTCCCAGGGACCTGTCTGCGGTCCCCAGTGCCTTTCTGGCAGCATGTCCTGCACAGTGCTGTGACCCCGCTGTTCATTTCAGCACATTTGGAGCTGACCCCTGCTCCCCCCATAAATGTATTTCTTGGCGTGGGCACCCGTGGACTCGGGGCACCTGTGGGCATGGGAACCTCCTCCCAGTCTCCGCCCAGCTCCCCCCATCACCCCTTGTAGGGAGCACTCTGCGGGTCTGGGCCATCCTCGTGTCCACGGCCTCTCACCTCTCCTGCCCGCAGGTCCATCAAGCGCTACTTCCTGATGGACCAGGGCGACTTTTTCGTGCACTTCATGGACCTCACGGAGGAGGAGCTGAAGAAGCCGGTGGACGACATCACGCCCACCCGTCTGGAGGCGCTGCTGGAGCTGGCCCTGCGCATGAGCACCGCCAACACCGACCCCTTCAAAGATGACCTCAAGGTGAGCAGGCACCCCCCAGGGACCTTGGAGAGAGAAACAGCAGAAGCCAGCCCTTGAGGAGTGCTTTTCCTGCCTCGGTTGAAATGCTCACAGGGTTTTCCTTGGCTCTGTTAGGGACACGTCTCGGGGTCGTGGTATGCGAGCCTCTCCATGGGCTGCTGAACTGGGGGGTTGGGGTCTCTGGGGGACTCTGCATCCGTGTCTGGCAGGGATGTTGGCTTTAGTCTTCTGTAGCATCTCTGGCCTCGTAGACTGATCTGGAAGGGTTCCCTCTTCCGGATTTCTGGAAGAGTTTCGAGAGGGTTGGTGTCAGCTCTTCCTGGAGTGTTTGGTAGAATTCACCAGTGAAGCTTTCTTTGTTGTGAAGGTTTCGTTGTTTCTTCCGTCTCCTCTCCAGTTACAGGTCTGTTCCAATTTTCTGTTTCTTCTTGAGTCAGTTTTGGTAGTTTGTGTGTGCTTAGGAATTTGTGTAGGAATTAGTTCTCATAATCCTGTTTATTTCTGTAAGGTTGACGGTAATGTCCCCACTTCCATTTCTGATTTTAGTAACATGAGTCTTCTCTCTTTTTTTTAGTCAAACGTAAGTAAAAGCTTATCAAGTTTGCTGATGTTTCAGAGAGCTAACTTGGTTTCATCCATTTTCTCTGTTGTTTCTCTGTTCTGTGTTTTGTTTATTTCTTCTCTAATCTTCGTTATCTTCCTCTTTCTGCTGACTTCGGGTTTAGTTTTCTGTTTTTCTAGTTTCTTAAGTTGTAAAGTTAGGTTGTTGACTTGAGATTGTTCTTTTTTTTTTGCAGTGCGCGGGCCTCCCACTGCTGCGGCCTCTCTCGTTGCGGAGCACAGGCTCCGGACGCGCAGGCTCAGCGGCCATGGCTCACGGGCCCAGCCGCTCCGCAGCATGTGGGATCTTCCCAGACCGGGGCACGAACCCGTGTCCCCTGCCTCGGCAGGCGGACTCTCAACCACTGCGCCACCAGGGAAGCCCTAGATTGTTCTTTTTTAACGTGGGCATTTGCTGCTGTGAGTTTCTCTCTGAGCTCTGGTTTTACTGTATCCCATCAGTTTTGGTTATAGTGTTTTCATTTCCCTTCGTATCAAGATGTTTTTGAATTTCTCTTGTGATTCTTCCTTGACCCATTTGTTTTTAAGAGCATATTTTATTTTCACTATTTGTGAATTTTCTCATTTTATCCTATTACTGATTTCTAACTTCATCCTGTTGTAATCAGAGAGCATGTCATGATATCAGTTTTGTTAACCTTACTAAGTCTTGCTTTGTGGCCTCACATATGGTTTGTCCTGGGGAGTGTTCTGTGTGCACTAGCTGTTTGGGGCCGTGTCCCATGGGGGGCAGTCAGCTCACTGTGCTCACGTCCTGTCTCTGACCTGCCTGGTTGTCTCTGTTGTTGACAGCAGGGTGTCAGGCCTCCCACTGTCATCGTAGACCCTTCTCAGTTCTGGCAGCTCGCACTTCATGTGTTTTGGGGTCTCTTGTGAGGTATAGGAGTGTTCTTGTAGGATAAGATCCGGGAAGTCAGATTCTTGGGTCAAAGCACACGGCCAGCGCTCCACTGGACTGGCATCTCTGATGCTCAGTCCCTGGGCCTGGGCTGCCCGCTGAGTCGGCCGCGGCCCTGGTGGGAGGGAGCACAGCCATTCAGGGTCCACTTCTGCAGCAGGTGACGTGAGTTCTCATCTGTGGATTCCTGTTCATTCCTTCATCCTTCCTTGTTTGTCTTTCATTGTGGTTCTGTCATTCTCTATCCTCCCAGTTTCTTACCAGTTTACAGGAATTGTCCCACGTCTCTGGCACATAGGTGGCACCGTGTAAGGGTGTGAATGAGGCAGTGTGTGGACCGCATTCCCTGTCCAGAACCGCTGTGCCGTCCTCACCATGTGCTCCCTTCGCCTGGCCTGTGCAGGTGGTGGAGAAGGGCTGAGTCTCGCGGGATTCAGGGTTTCTCACTTGCCCTTGTTTCTCCTTGATACCATCAGGGATGTTTTTAAAGTAATTTCTCTGTACCCTTCTTTTTCTGTTTTGACTGAAAGCAGTTTTGTTTTTTAATTAAGGTGTATCAGTAGATGTTTGGTGTTTTAAGCCAGCCTCCCAGACTTAGAATCCATGTCTGGAGGAGATTCCTCGGCCCTGGACTCGCTTTTCCATTTCGTGATGTAGGGGCGGGGTGGGGTTGGGACCTGATGCTTTTTTGTTTCTCTTTCCCCAGATCGACCTGATGCCTCACGACCTCATCACCCAGCTTCTGCGTGTCCTCGCCATCGAGACCAAGCAGGAGAAGGCGATGGTCCACGCTGACCCCACCGAACTCACGCTGAGCGGCCTGGAGGCCTTCTCCTTCGACTACGTGGTGAAGTGGCCCCTGTCTCTGATCATTAACAGGTAAGCATCAGGCTCTCGCGCCTGCTTAGGCCCCTGGGGGTTACTGGCTGCTCAGGTCACGCTCCGCCCCGTGAGCCTCGCCTTTGACGTCTGGTGCCGGCCACAACCCCCAGGCGTCCGTCGGAATCCGCTTTGTTCCTTCTTCGCAGGAAAGCCCTGACCCGCTATCAGATGCTCTTCAGACACATGTTCTACTGCAAGCACGTGGAACGGCAGCTCTGCAACGTTTGGATCAGCAACAAGACTGCCAAGCAGTACTCCCTGCACTCGGCCAAGTGGTACGTCCTCCGGGGCTCCCGTGGAGCAGGGTGGTTCCTCTCCACACCCCGAAAACGGAGACCCAGGAGCTGGCCTGTGCAGCCTCCACGTCTCTGATGTTCCATGCTACCGTTAGACTGTGGGATGGTGGGGCGTGTCTGAGCCAGAGCCCTTCGTGGACCTCCGGCTCCTCCAGGGTTGGGAGCGCCTGCAGGCCCAGGGGTGCTCTGCACTTCGCGAGTGCTGGGGGCCCGCGGGCGCCCTGTGTATCTGACGCCTTCGCCTGGCGCAGGTTCGCGGGCGCTTTCACCCTGCGGCAGCGGATGCTCAACTTCGTCCAGAACATCCAGTACTACATGATGTTTGAGGTGCTGGAGCCGACCTGGCACGTCCTGGAGAAGAGCCTGAGATCTGTGAGTTTAGCCCAGCTGGTCACGACGCCTGGTCAGAGGTCAGGGAGGCGGAGGTGGGGCACGGACCCGACAGCTCCCCCGATGGCTCCCCCGACGCCACCAGAGCTGTGTTAGCGGTGGAGGGCAGGGCACGCAGGACGGCGTGGCCCAGGCTCAGGCTGCCAGAAGAGTGTGCAGTTCCCTCGGAGCCTCGGCTCTGGGTCAGCGCCCCATCCAGGCCCATCCCAGGGCCCCTGGGGGCCGTCAGCCAAAAAGTTCATGTCACCAAACTCCAGGAGCGGAAAGTGCAAGGGGGCAGTGTTTCCTCCTTGTTTTCTGTCTTTAAAAACGAAAACCTTGGACCTTTTGGGGCACATTCAGTGTGTCCTTTTAGCGATATTTTGAAGTTTTCCCCCAAAAGACCACAGGATTGTTTAAAACATGGAAACAACACAGAGCGTACAAAGCAGCCCAGTCAGGGCCTCGGTGCGGTCGTCTCAGCAGAGCGGCTCTGACAGTGTCTCCCGCCCAGGCCTCCAACATCGATGACGTGCTGGGACACCACACCAGCTTCCTGGACAGCTGCCTGAAGGACTGCATGCTGACCAACCCCGAACTGCTGCGTGTCTTCTCCAAGCTCATGTCCGTGTGCGTCATGTTCACCAACTGCATGCAGGTTCGCCCTCGGGGCTCTGGGCGGCGGGAGCCGGTCCTGCAGACCGTCCCAGCCACGCAGGGGCCGCGCTTCCTCGAGTGGCTGCTTGTGGCTGATGCGCATTCCCTCCCGACCCCCCAGAGATTCACGCAGAGCATGAAACTGGATAGCGAGCTGGGCCACCTGACACTGGAGCACGGCACGATGCGGGGGCCGCCCACGGAGGCCGAGCGGGCTGAGGAGCGTGCCCGCAAGGAGCTTGCCCGCAAGGTGGGTGGGTGGCCAAGCGGGCGTCCCCGAGGCCCTCCTTTGTCCCGCTGGGATTTGACACAGCATTAGGGTCACAGCGCTCAGAAACCACGCCTGCTACAGCCCGCCATTCCTGTCTTCCCTTTGGTTGATAAAAAGGCTCTTAAATGTATGTTCCAAATACAAGCCGCGGAGAATCTCCCTTCCCGACTTCCCACAGTGAGGCTGCGTCGTTCAGGGTGTGTGTGGTAAGGCCGAGCCATGGGGATACCCCACAGGGGCCTGCGGTCACTGCGATTAAAGTCTGTCCGTAACCAGAAGGGCCAGGTGGTTCGGCGGGTGCAGGTGTGTGTCCTGTAGGATGGGGTGCGGCGGGGCAGGGTGAGCCCGGGCAGGCACTCCCAGGTTCCCCACTTGCTGAGCGGCGGTCAAGAGAAAACAGTGTCAGCTGGACGATCTGAGCCACACGTGGAAACCCTGAGGTTCACATCCTTCCTGGCTCCGTGTGGTGGGGCCGCAGGGCCGGCTGCCTGGAGCGTCTCTAGGTCCTGCCGTCTCAGGGGTTTTCACAGTGCCTAACGTTTTACCTTTCTTCACGTGAAGAATTGCCGAGACACATTTTTCTATTTAAAAAAGAAGAGAGAAGGGGGTTGAGCTGCTGGCGGGCAGCCGAGTCACTACAGCCATGTCTTGCAGTGCCTGGCCGAGCATGTGGACGCTCCGCAGCTGGCCTCCAGCTTCGAGGCCACCATCAGTAAGTTCGATAAGAATTTCTCAGCCCACCTGCTCGACCTCCTGGCCCGGCTGAGCATCTACAGCACCAGCGACTGCGAGCATGGCATGGCCAGCGTCATCTCCAGGTGGGTGCACCGGCCCCCGCCGGCGCCCTGCCCCGCCACGCCCTCCCGCCGGCCCACGCGCCCTCCCGCCACTCGGCGCAGGTGTGACTGAGGCCGCGTGTGTTCAGCCGAGGCTCCCTTGGCCTCCGTGTGCTGCCGCTGGCCGCTTGCTGGAGGAGTGGCATCTGGGCGTTCACGTGTGCGGGTGTTCGTGTGCATGCTCACCTGCGTGCACGTGTTGACTGGTATACGTCAGGCCGCCCCATCAGCCCTCTCCGCGTTTCTCTGTGTTCCGAGGGCCAGGCCTGGGTCAGCTGCACTGGCCGCTGTGCCCCAAGCCGGGACCCAGGACACTGGAAGGGCCCTTTGGCCCCAGCCGCGGGCCGTCACACTGTCTCCAGGTGAGCAGTGAGGAGGCGCTGCCTTCCTGCTGGCGGCCAGTCAGGAGACCCCGGGGAACGCACGGAAGGTCAGGGCCGCGCTCGCCCGGCCTGCCGCGCCTCGAGGGCCACGTTGGTGCCCCCCTGGGGTCCACCTCCCATGACCCTGGGAGCGGCGAGCGTGCAGGGCTGACGCGAGCAGGAGTCCGTGGAATCTGGGGGGCCGTGGGGAGGACCGTGCAGCGGCGAGGACAGGCGCGCGGGGCCCGAGGGCCGGTCGGTGGGGCCTGCAGACCTGGGGCTGGTGGTTTCCTGCTCCTCAGAGGGGGCGTGGCGGGCCTGCTCCCTTTGGGGGCGGGTTCAGGTGAGGAGGGGGCTGTCCCTGCCCTGGGAAGCCTCCTGTTGGGTAGCCTCAGGCTCAGCCAAACATTGGGCTGCCCTGTTCTGCCCACAGGCATTCCAATGTCTTGGGCTCCGGGGTTCGGAGAGCCCCAATGTCCAGGGGCTGGAGACGTTTGTCTCACTTCACCCGTGTCTTTTTTTTTTTTGTGGCTGCGTTGGGTCCTCGTTGCTGCGTGCGGGCTTTTTCTAGTTGCGGCGAGCAGGGGCTACTCTTCATTGCGGTGCGCGGGCTTCTCATCGTGGTGGCTTCACTTGTTGTGGAGCACGGGCTCTAGGCGCGCGGGCTTCAGTAGTTGTGGCACACGGGCTTCAGTAGTTGTGGCTCGCGGGCTCTAGAGCGCAGGCTCAGTAGTTGTGGTGCACGGGCTCAGTAGTTGTGGCTCGCGGGCTCTAGAGCACAGGCTCAGTAGTTGTGGCACACGGGCTTAGTTGCTCCGCGGCATGTGGGATCTTCCCAGGCCAGGGCTCAAACCCATGTCCCCTGCATTGGCAGGCGGATTCTTAACCACTGTGCCACCAGGGAAGCCCTCACCTGTGTCTTTAAGCTTTATTCTCAGTATCGTCTTGGGCCTGTATGTGTGTCCGAGTGCACGTGTGCTAGAGACTTGAGTGCCTCCCATGCCCTTCACCGTGGGGTGGTAGGGGATCGCCAGTGTGGCCACGGAGGCATCTGCAGGGACCCTGCCCACTTCCCCTGCAGGCTCGACTTCAACGGCTTCTACACTGAGCGGCTGGAGCGCCTGTCTGCAGAGAGGAGCCAGAAGGCGGCCCCCCCAGTGCCCAACCCGCGGGGGCCCCCAGCTCCAGCGCCCAGGGTCGCTGTCACTGCGCAGTGAGGCCAGCCGCTCCTGCCACAGCTGAAGCCTCAGGTGGATGAGTTCAGAGGTTTCTTACCACGTTTCCAGAACGCTTGTGCTGTGTGTGTCCTGTTTAAACATAAAGTTGAATTGTCTGCACTCAGCTCCTCTCATTTCTTGGGGCTCGTGCACTCAGACCAGAGAGGGTCTGCTTGTCTGCGTGCTTTCCTGAAGCGAGCAGAGTCCCTTTAAAGAGTTTTTTGGTTTCAAGTCAGACAAAGTGAGAACACATGGCCTCTGAACAACATCAGGACAGTCACCAAGGTGCCAGGTGGGGGCGAGGTCTGGGCCTGATGTCCACACCTGTCCCTGTGAAGTGGGGCAGGGCTCCCTGGGGTCAGCAGGAACCCCTCACACTGCAGGCAGGGGATTGCTCCAGGCAGCAGGGGGCAGCACAGCCCCTTGTCCCGAAGCTGGAGCAGCTTGGGGGGTGAGTCACCGACACGCCCACTGAGGATGGAAGAGCTGCCTGGGGTGGGCGGCTGAGGCTGTGGCCTCTGTCCTGTTAGGCCCAGCCTTGTCCGGCCCCTCCCGATGGGCAGTGGGTGGCACGGCCAGCCCCAGGTGTGGCCTGCGGTGAATACCTTTGTGCTGCTCTGCCCCCCTCCCAGCCACCCTACCCTTTCCCTGCAGAATTCCACATGGGTCGTTTTCAAAATTCAGCTCGGACCGCCTGCTCCAGGTGTTCCCCACCCACCCCACCCCACCCTGCTCTGGCAGATGAGGAATGACAGGGTTCCCCTAGGGGCAGGGGTCGGGCAGCTCCCAAGCCCGCTGTTGCCCTGCGGAGGGGGCACCCTGAGCTGGGGGCCTGGACTCAAGCCACAGACTGCTTCCTCTTCTAAGCTGCAGTGCGTGCAGGTGCACCCCAAATGCCACAGTCCGCGCTTCTGCAGCTCAGGCTCTGAGCAGAGGCGCCCACTGGCCCTCCCACCTGGCCCGAGGCCCAGAAGCCCTGCGTCCCTGTCCTGGGCTCTGGGCATTGGGCTTTCCTGAAGGAGACACCTCCGGGTTGCAGGCGTTGACAGCGGGAGGGGAGCGCCCTGTGGGCTTGGGGAGGGGTTCTCTGTGGTGGGGGGGCTCTGCGGGCCCACGCTGGTCCTGTAGGTGGGGTGGGGGACGGGTTCTCTGGGGTAGGGGGCTCTGCGGGCCCACGCTGGTCCTGTAGGTGGGGTGGGGGGGGGGGTCTCTGGGGGGGGGGGGCTCTGCGGGCCCACGCTGGTCCTGTCGGTGGGGTGGGGGTGCCGGTGCTGAGCCCGTTGCCAAGTTCCCTGTTGAGGTCTGGGCAGCAGAGTGTGTAGTCCCGGCAGCTGGGGTTTTTGCCCAAATAGGGACACGTAGCCTTTGAACTTCTGCTCTCAGATAACACGCAATACCAAAAAAGAGAAGTAAAATGGCCAGGAGGATTTGGGGTGGTTCACACGCATCGTTGTGTGAAACACGGTCACGTCACGTATGGGCTCAGGGACACAAGCTGCCTGTGCCCCTTGCTCACTGTGGCCCTGGGGGCTTCTGTCACCCACGCCCGAGATACCCCAAAGTGTGTGCAAACCCCTCCTGCCTTGTTTTCCTTTTTCTGCTGTTCACTTTGGGGGAAATCATGGTCCTTTGAACTTTGACCTCTGGTCTGGACCCACTGTGGGCACCACACCCTTTCACCTGAGGCCTTGACACGCTCTGATGTCCTGCCTTCCCAGGGGCACGTTCAGAGTGAGGCTGGGGTGCCACCGGCCAGCTCAGCTGCAAGAAGCCTGGGTCCCCAGGTACCAGGCCAGAGTGGAGTGGTCCCAGCCTGCAGGGCAGGTCAGGGTGGGCAGAAACTGGGGGCTGGGGGCAGCAGCGGGCAGGCGGCTGCAGACTTTGGCCCATAGCGACCGCATCCCAGAGCTGTCCACTGGGCCTCCACATCCGCCCTCTCCACAGAGCAGGGTCTGCTCCCTGAGCCAGGTGGCTGCCTGGCACCTGGCCAGCGGCCCCACCTGTGTGCTCCCCTTGCCCAGTCTCCCCAGTGAGGCCTCAGGAGGCTGGGAGCAGGGCTGCTGGAGCTTGCGCACGCCTCACACACAGCAGGGCCTCCACTCCCACCCCCACCCCCGGCGGGGCCCCCCGGGCAGCCCCAGCCTGTTTCCTCACCTGCGTGGGGGATGCAATTGCAGGAGTGGCCCAGGTTAGTCTGTCCACCTGCCCTGCTTAATTCAGTCCACGTTGACAAAACTGTGTGCTGAACACTGGATACGGGACACTGTCCAGGAGCCCCAGGGGACAAGAAGGAGACCGGGGAGGCGGGGTGGGGGCGGGACCGCGCCCTCAGGTGCCCAGGCCCGGCCCTTCCTGGCCCCGAGCGGCTGATTGGCCGCGGGCAGGGGGCTGGTCACTGGGGCAGGGCGGGGCGCGAGGGCACGAGCCTCAGAGGCGAGGGGAGGACCAGAGCCAGCCTGAGCACGGAGCACCTTCTCCCCGGCCCCCCAGAACCGTGGGTTCGGATCCGGACCCCGCCCGCACCGCCCGCCATGCACGGCCTTGGGCTCCTGCTGCTTCCTGCGCTGTGGCTACAGGGTGAGTGAGTGCTGGGCGTCTGGCTCTGGCTGGTCCGGTCGCCTGGCCCCCTGCTCCCTGCGCGGGGCTCTGGGCTGGTCTCTGGGATTCGGCGGCGCACAGGTGGCCAGTCGGTGGGGAGGCCCTGGGCGGTGCACACACGAAAACTTCAAAAGGGAAGTGCGTGGGGAAACGGCCACCTGGGCGTTTTCTGCGCTGGAGGTGGGGACCGGCTGGGACAGAACAGGGTGGAGGATCTGGCTGCTTCGGCTCCATTCCGGGGCTTCGGGAGGATTGCCCACCTCCACGGGGAACCCCCAGCTTGGCAGGGAGGGGAGGACCGAGGAGCAGTGGCCTGGAGCCGAGGGATTGGGGGCACCCCAGGGGGTTGTTTTGCCACATGGGGACCTGCCTCTCCTCTGGGGGGACTGACTGTGCTGCTGGCCTTGGCCCCCACCGTAGCTCCTGTGAGCCTCCTGGGGTTCGGGGGGGAGGGCGCTTACAGGGCAGGCCCTCTGCACGGCCTTCACTCCGGGAGGTTTGCCAGATAGCCGTTTACGGAGACACAACCATTAACACCTTGAAAGAAGGAGAAAAGAGTCACCTGGGGAGTAGGTTTCCACCTCTGGGCCTGGGCTGGGTCCCTGCTGTCTGTTGCTGGATACGGGGCAGCTTCTAGATCTGGGCTGGGTGAACCCTGCGGAACAGGGCTGCCAGTTCCCTGTTAGATGCGGTCACGTGATTAGTTGGGATGAAAAATGTCAGCTCTAAGCGCTGGACGGGCAGACCCGCCCCCCACCCCCACCCCCGCGCCCTCCACCCCTCCCCCCGCATCCCCCACCCCTCCCCCCGCCCGGGGCCTGTGGGTGTCCTCGTTCTGAGGGGGAGGGGGCATCCGGGTCACCCCAGGGTCTGGGAGGCAGCCTGGTGGGCTCCTGGAAGGGCAGGCGCTGGGTGGGGTCTCCGTGCACTGCCAGGCGCAAGTGTGCCCGACCCCACCCAGGGCGGGGGTCCTGCGGCCTCTTTCACGCAGAACCCCACTTGGGCTGGGCAGCCAGGGCTCAGAGTCTGCGGTCCCCACGCTGCCGGGCGATTCCCCAAGAGGAGGTGCCGGCGCACAGCAGGCTGGGAAGGGACCCCCAGGGCGGGAGGGTGCCCTGTGCGCCTGCTGACCCCCCTCTCCTGCAGAGGTCGCCCCCAGGGCCACCCTGCCCCACGTGGAGCAGTATGAGGTGGTGAGGCCCCGGCGCCTGCCAGCACCCCGCACCCGCCGAGCCCTGCCCTTCCACTTGGTAAGCCTGGGCAGGAGGCTGGCCTGGGGGTCCCTCCCTGGCCCCTCAGAGCCCGTTTCTGTCTGTGAGCAGGGTGATAGCTCCCCGTGTGCCCAGCGAGCTGTGAGGGGCTGCCTTTGGGGCTGAGGGCCAGGGCAGGCCCCTGGGGAGCTCACAGCCCACCTGGGCTGCCTTTCTCCTCCCCCCACCCCCACCCCGGGGCCTCACCTTATTCTTCCGTGTCCTGCCCACCCTTGGGCAGGGCCACAGCCGCCCCGCCTCGGGGTGGGGGGTGCCGGCCGGGCTGCCCTGTCTTCCTTTCAGGAGCTCCGCCGGCCGCGGCCACTCCCCAGTTTCACTCCAGCGATTAGTCAGACTCCTCCAAGACTGGAGGGGATGGCTCAGCACGGCGCTAGCTTACGCCTCTTGGGCATTTGGGGCCGGGCTGGGACTCCCCAGGGCGCCTGGGGGCACTCCTGAGACCTGAAGCGTGTGCGCCTGCGCGTGCCCAAGTGTGTGTCGAGGACAGCCCCGTCCTGACCTCAGGGTGCGGGCACAGCGCACGGTGTCCTAGGGGTCAGCTGCGGCTGGGGGCGCCCCTCCAGTCGGGCCCTGGGCTGGAAGGGGCGGGGCCTCGCAGGGGCGGGTCACCTCTGCCGCCTGGGTTCTAAGGCTGCCTGTCAGGGGCTGTGTCCCCCCTCCCCTTGCTTCCCGGTAAGGGGCATTCTTCTTCTCCCCGTGTGGACTTGTGAGGAAACCACCGAGGCCTGAGGCACCCGAGGCGGTTCTGGGTGGAGCTCCCCACCTGCCCACTGCCTCCGGTTTGACCCGAGGCCCCACCTCCCCCTACTGGCCCTGTGCTACCCACCCCCAGGTTTGAGGTGGGCGTGGCCGGGCCCCTCTCTCTGGACCCCTCCCTTTTCTCCCGGCTCAGGGCCTGTACCCGGAGAGTGTGAGCTACGTCCTGGGGGCCCGAGGGCACACCTTCACCCTGCACCTTCGGAAGAACAGGTGAGCAGGGGCCTAAGCCTGTAGCCTGCTCCCACCCCTGCCCCCGGCACACCTGTGTCCTGGGCATACAGCTCCCTGGCCCAGCCTCTCCTCCACACCAGAGGTGGCTTCTGGGGCAGGCAGGTGGGGCCCAGAGCATCACGGGGGCTCTTTTCCAGGGACCTGGTGCGCTCGGGCTACGTGGAGACCTACACGGCCGCCGATGGCTCCCAGGTGACAGAGCAGCTGCTGAGGCAGGTATGGCCCCCCGAGTGACCCCCCCACCCAAGGCCGGCAGTGGCGGTGCAGGGAGCGCGGGCACTGGCAGTGGAGCCCTCACACCCTCCTCCCGCAGGACCACTGCTTCTACCAGGGCAACGTGGAGGGGCACCAGGGCTCCGCTGCCAGCCTCAGCACCTGTGCTGGCCTCAGGTGGGTGCTGCCGACCAGGCGGGGTGCGTCAGGACATCAGGGCCCAGCACTGTCTCACTCTCCAGCGAAGTGAACTGAGGCCAAGAAGGGAGGGGTGGGCCGGGGGCACCTACTGCCCTGGGGTTCCTCGCTAACTCAGAGCCATGGGCTCCGCTCTGCCTCAGGGGCTTCTTCCAGGCTGGCTCCACCATCCACCTGATCGAGCCCCTGGATGGGGGTGGGGAAGAGGGGCAACACGCACTGTACCAGGCACAGCACCTGCAGCAGAAGGCCAGCACCTGCGGGGTCAACGACAGCAGCCTGGAGACCATCCTGGGGCCGCGGGTCTCGGCGGCCCTCAGGCCCCGGGTGAGGGGAGGCCCTGCCCGCTGCTTCCGCGTCCACTTGGCCCCGTGCATCCCCAGACTCCTGAATGCCCCGCGAAGCGGGGGTGCTGCCTGCCGCCCCCGTGGCTGGGGTGGGCCTGGGCCTGGCTGCACGCTGGCTGCAGAGCCAGCTCCTTAGTCTGCGTCAGAGCCCCCCCCAGCTCCCACCAAGGCTCCCCCAGCGCTGTGGGGCCAGCTCCGGGGCCTGGAGATGCTCCGTGTGCGCAGACGGGCTGAGGACAGGCGGGCTGTGGCTGGGTGGCTGACCGGCTTCTTGTCCCCACTCCTCAGAACTGGCCAGTGCCCCGAGAGACCCGCTACGTGGAGCTGTTCGTGGTCACGGACAGCACAGAGGTACCGGGGGCGGGGGCGGGGGTTGGTGTGGGTGCAGGTGGGCCGACAGGCTGCAGCTGAGGGTCTACTGTCCTCCAGTTCCAGCGGTTGGGGAGCAGAGAGGCTGTGCGCCAGCGGGTGCTGGAGGTGGTCAACCACGTGGACAAGGTGGGGGCCGCTTCGCTCTGGGGGCTTCCTCTCAGCAGGGGCTGCCGGGACCCCGCGGCAGCACACACCCAGCCCAACAGAAACCCTGGCTGTAGAGGCCTGTTGGGGCACCTGGAGAGGAGGAGAGGGCTGGCCATGGGGGGCGCCCGGCTGCCAGTAGAACCATCCGCCAGGTGATGGGGGGGCTAGGACTCTGCCCCAGCCCTCGTGACCTGTCCCATCGCAGCAGACGCTGGGGGGACCTCTGGCCCTTGGCTGGCCTCACCATTGGAACCTGACCCTCGGGGCCCCCTGCCCTCTGGCAGCTTTATCAGGAGCTCAATTTCCGCGTGGTGCTCGTGGGCCTGGAGATGTGGAACGGTGGGGACAAGATTCACGTCAGCACCCAGGCCGACACCACACTGAACAACTTCCTGTCCTGGCGGGTGCAAGACCTGGCGGGGCGGCACCTGCACGACAACGCGCAGTTCGTCACGTGAGTGGGCGGAGGCCACGCTGTCGCCAGGACGAGGGAGACCCAGGGGAGGCAGGTTCCGAGGTGGCCACGAGCAGACACTGCTCTCTTTCCCAGCGGGGTCGACTTCGCAGGGACCACCGTGGGACTGGCCAAGGTGTCCGCCATGTGCTCCCAGGACTCGGGGGCTGTGAACCAGGTGCGGGGGATCCAGCTGGGTTTGCTGGACAGAGGCTGGAGCTGGCCACTGGGGGTGGGGGGGAAGGGAGTGGGGATCGGAGCTTGAGCTGGGGCCTGCGAGGGGGGGCCTCAGGACTCAGGTCCACCTGCTGGACACCTGAGCAGCTGCCTCTTCCGAAGGATGCACTGACGCTTTAGGTTTGAAGAAGTGATGTTGGCAGGAGGCACCGCCGAGCCCCTCAGCCTGCTGGGGGCGGGCGGGGGACTGGCCACCAGAGTGACCCCAGCCAGCATGGCCCCTCCTATAGGACCACAGCCCGAACCCCATCGGCGTGGCGAGCACCATGGCCCACGAGATGGGCCACAACCTGGGCATGAACCACGACGAGAACATCCAGGACTGCTACTGCCCGGTGCCGCAGGACGGCGGCGGCTGCGTGATGGCGGCCAGCATCAGGTGAGGCTTGGCCCCAGCCAGCCCGCCCGAGGGCCTCCCGCCCAGCAGGGGTGTCCCAGGGCACGGACGGCTGGCCGCCCCCCCCACCCTTCTGATGGCAGGGACTCCCCTCCCCGCAGCTCCAACTTCCCCAGAAAGTTCAGCCACTGCAGCCGGGCTGACCTGGAGACATTCGTGGAGAAGCCCCGGACGGCCTGCCTGGTGGACGCCCCGGACCCCGACCGGCTGGTGGGCGGCCCCGTGTGTGGGAACCGGTTCCTGGAGCGTGGGGAGCAGTGCGACTGCGGCGCCCCCCAGGTACAGGGCCGGGCCCCGCCGCCACCCTCTGCTTTCTGCCCACCGCCCACATGGGGGGCCGGTCCCCATCCACAGGCTGGGGCGACCGTTCCTGACCCCCGGGCGCCCTGCGCACGCACAGCGACACCTCCTGTCCTCTGGCACCAAAACGACTGGCAGGGCTCGTGAGGGGGAGTGACCAGACCACCCGAGGGAAGGGCCTGGGGCCAGCCCAGCGTGCAGCCCGCTCAGACCTTCGCTGTTGCCCCCGCCCCCAGGACTGTCAGAACCGCTGCTGCAATGCCAGCACCTGCCTGCTGGCCAAGGGGGCTGAGTGTGCCCACGGCAGCTGCTGCCACGAGTGCAGGGTGAGCCTGGGGTTCTGGGGCACAGCAGCAGGCGTGGGTGTTCGGGGGCCTCCTGTTCCCTGGGTGAGCTCGGCTCTGCTGAACCAGGTGAAGCCAGCCGGAGAGCTGTGCCGCCCTGCAAAGGACCAGTGTGACCTCGGGGAGTACTGTGACGGCCGGCAGCCCATGTGTCCCGAGGACGCCTTCTGGGAGAACGGCACGCCCTGCCCGGGGGGCTACTGCTACAACGGGGCCTGCCCCACGGTGGCCCAGAGGTGCCGGGACTTGTGGGGGCCAGGTGAGGCGGGCATGGGCCCCGGTCATGGGCCCCTCAGGCCTGCCAGGGTGGCTGCTGGTCCTGAGTCGAGCGCTGACCTGCTCCTGCCCCGCAGGCGCTCGGGTTGCCATGGAGACGTGCTACAGCTACAGCATCTCCACAGGCTGCAAGCGCGGGATCCCCCTGGACTTTGGCAGGTGAGCGTCCACCCGTGGCCCGACTCCCCTGGGTCCAGGGCACGGAATGTTTCCACCAAGAGAGTCCTCTGCACAAAGGAGTCCGGGAGCTGAGTCAGGAGCCTCTCCGGGGGCCTACCTGGCCCTGCAGGACCCCCAGGCCAGAGCATGCTGCCCTTTGGGAGAGTGGGTCACTGTGGCTGGGCCGTGGACCCCTGCAGGTGGACCCAGGGCCTCACCCACAGCTCCTGGTGCGCTGAGCACGGTTGTGAGCACCGCGCAGGGGTCCCCGCGGAGCTGGCTCCACGCACGTCCCTCTGTCCTCAGGGTCAACAGGTGTGGCACTCTGTTCTGTGAGGGGGGGCAGAAGCCCCCGGAGCGGAGTTCCTGCACCCTCACCTCCTCCTCGGGTGCTTGCCAGGCTCTCGTCCAGGACAGCAGCAGCGTGTATGAGCCAGTGCCGGAAGGCACCAAGTGTGGCGAGGAGCAGGTGGGCCGGACGTGCCTCTCGGTTGGGCTGCTGGACCCCAGGGCGAGCTGCTGGGGCCCAGAGCAGGGCGGTGGCGGCTGGAGGAGGGCTCTGTTCTGGGGAGAAACTCGGGAGGCGCATGGGGGGTGCGGGAGAAGACCCTTCTCAGTTAATGGGTTTGAAGACTATTTGTCCTGCAAGCCCTCTGGGGATGGGCAGGGCCAGTCCTCTGTGGCCCTGGTGGCAGCAGAAGTCTGGCCGGGCAGTGCCTCTCCCCGTGGCCAAGGCCGGCCAGCAGATGGGCTGCGGGCGAGGCCACCGGGGGTGTGAAGGCTGTGGCCTGCCCCTCCGAAGCCCAGACACAGGTTTTGGGTCCACTCTGGTTGATGGTGGAGAGCTGGGGTGCTTCAAGCAGGGGTCTAGACTGGCTGCCTACGGAGACCCCCACTGCCCTCCAGGTTTGCTGGAAAG